GACCCTCAAAACCAGGCACGAACCCCCCAGCACATCCAGGACCATCCTCCAACCTTCCAGGACCCCTCCCAGAATGTCCCCAAACTCCCCCAGCCCCCCTGGGAGCTCTCAGATTCCACACCCCCCCCACCCTCCACCTCCACTAGACACCCTTGGGTTCCCCTGTGACTGCCCCAGCAACACCCAGACCCCCCCCCCCACCTTGGACACCCCCAGCACCCTCCTCTGGCCACCCCAGGATGCTCCCCAGCCCCTCCGGGGACCCCCCCAAACCCCCCGTGAGCCCCCAGACCCCCACCCTTGTGCAGGGCCTCGTTGGTCATCCTGTGCACGCCGCGGCCGGGCCCCTCGGGGACGAGCCAGCGCATCACGGTGTCCACGCAGCCCTTGCGGTACGAGCTCCACACGCTGCCACTGCCACGGCGGGTTGGGGAGGGGCTGGGGGGACCCCCCGTGCCCCCCCCATTGCAACCCCCAGGCCCCCCCAAAGGGACCCTGGAGTCCTCGCAGCGTTTGGGGCACCCCAAGTGCAGCCGCTGCTAAAGGGGCGGGCGGGGGGGCTTGGGGAGGTTTGGAGGAGGCTCGGGGTGGGACAGAGCAGGTTTGGGGAGGGTCCCTGAGCCCCTCCAGTATCACAAACTGTTCCAGGGAGCCCTCACTCAGCACCCCCAGAATGCAACCAGCCCCCCCCCAACCCACCTGAGCACCACAAATCACCCCCAGGCCCCTAAATCACCCCCCTAGAACCCCCAAATTCTCCCTAAGACACCAAACTCACCCACAGCCCGCCCAAATCACCCCAGCTCCCCTAAGGCCCCTCCCAGCTGCTCAAGACACCCCAAAATCCCTTCCCCCTCACCTGGTTTGCCCCTTGACCTCTGTGAGGTCCCCAACACCCACGGTGGTGAAGGTGCCACTGTTGAGGTCCCAGGCGACCTTGAGGCTCGTGTGGTAAGTCCTGGGACTGGGAAGGGGGGGGGTCAGCACCGGGGGGGGGGGGTTCTGAGGGAATTTTGGGACCCCCTCACCCCTCTCACCGGAGCTGCCCCTCCTCGTCAGGGGAAGGGAAGGCCAGCAGCAGCAGCCCAATGTTTATCACCACCTGGTTGGTCTCAGGGCACACCTAAGGGCACAGAGGGGGTGCGGGAAAGGGTGAGGGGGATTCCCCCCCCCGTTCAGGGGGGTCCCACTGGGGTCTGGGCAAGTCCTGGGTGGGTTTTTGGAGCATCCCAGGAGTATCAGGGGGTCCTGCACCTTTGGGATGCATGAGGATAACACAGGACACAGAGAAGCTGGTGGGGGGGGGGGGCAGGCACTAGGAATTTGGGGCACCCTGGGGTTCTAGGGGGTCCGGGTGGGCTCAGGGGATCCCGGCACCTCGAGGATGACGATGTCGTAGTCACTGAAGGAGCAGAACTGGCGAGACCAGGCGGCGTCATTGCGAATCACCTCGTTAATGACGTACTCAAAGTCCAGCGTGAGCTGCTCCACCGTCAGGTACTGCCCCTGGGGGGGGGGGAGGGCCGTGGGGTCACCAGGGCTCTGCCCGCCCACCCCCCACAGGCTTCTAGGGGGACCTGGGGGTCCCCTGAGCCCCCACCTGGGCCGTAGCTCGGTCCCGTAGTGGCCTCAGGCTGCGACCGCTCAGGTCAGTCACCACAAAGGGCAGCGAGATCTTGTCATCCTCCAGGTCTGGGGTGGGCGGAGACAGGGGTCATGGGGGCACCCCAATAACGGGGGGGAGTCCAGTACCCCGTGGGGGGCACCCCACTCACCCTCGGGGGGCTCCCCAGGCTCCAGCACATAGCGCAGTTTGGTGTAGTTGACGTAGCCGGGCTCAGGGGAGGTGCCAGGGGGATGTGGCTCCCCTGGGGGGCTGCCGGGCACTGTGGGGGGAGTCTCGGGGGGCGGCCCGCGGGGGGAGGGCGGGGGATCGTCCCCCCCAGGCCCTCCCCCAGCGCCCTGAGCCCTCCGGAACAGGTCAGCCACAAACTCCTTGGCCTTGGCCACAGCTGGGGAAGGGGGTGCAGGGGGGATGTCTGGGGTTTGGGGGGGTCCTGGGGAGGGCTGCGCGGCCGAGGGGGCCCCCACAGACCCCTCCAGCTCCTCGGGGAGTTGTGGGGGGGCGTTTTCCCCCCTCCGGCTGGGACCTGGAATGTTCCGGCGTTCGTAGAGGATCTGCTGGGAGCTGCTGTCGCCTGTGGGGGGGTGCAGGGGTCAGGGGGGCCTGGGGTGTGCTGGGAGATATAGGGGGGGGGTCCCACAGGAGAGCCAGGGGTCCCAGGGGAGGTTGGGGTCCTCAAGGAGCTTTGAGGGCTCTGGGAACTCCTTGTGGTTATGGGCAGTCGTGGGGGCTCCGGGATTTTGTGGGGGGGTCCTGGGGGTACCCGCGGGGTGCACGGCGATGGCGCAGGCCACAAGGGAGAAGCTGGTGTTGAGCAGCACGACGTGGTCCTTGCGCAGCTGGAACGCCGGCTGGAAGGTGGGGAACGGATACACCACCTGGAACTTGGTGTGCAGCAGGAAACCGTGGCGCAGGCAGGTAGGGGGAGCCTCACCTGGGGGCATGGCGGGTGGGGGGGGTGTCAGAGGGGACACCCCGGATTGGGGAACCCCCGAACATCCCCCGCCAAAAAAAAACCCCTGAGTTGTTCTCAGCGCGGGAATTGCCAGCCCGGGGCTCATAGGGGCTCTCGGGGGTCTCACCGGGGGGCACGGTGGCCCGGCGGCAGGCGGGGCAGTGCCGAGGCGGGGGCACGGCCACGGTGCTCACGTAGATGTCGCGGTGGTTCTCGTCGCTCATCAGCATCATGTTCACCTGCAGCCCTGGGGCCGAGCGCGTGCTGGGGGCACCGGGGGGGACAGTGGGGTCACCGGGGGTCCAGCATGGAAACCAAAGGGGTCCCGGGGTGCCACCCACTTGAAGCCGAAGACGATGACCTTGTCGCTGTCCCCCGGCCACTCGCACAGGGTCAGGTAAAGGTCACTGTAGATCTGCTCGTCCTGGAACAGCCGCACCTGGCGCACCTGGGGGGGCCGTGAGTGGGCAGGGAGTCCCCAGCGGTGTCCCTGGGGGTCCCTGGGTGTCCCGGCGTGTCCCCTACCAGGCGCATCTTGCTGTGCACGTTGAACTCCCACCAGTACAGGTGGTACAAATAGGAGAAGTCGTCGTCCCCGTAGCTGCGGGTGTAGGACAGGACGTAGCGGCCACACTTGGAGAAGCCCAGGAAGATGTGGCTGGGGGGACACGAGGAGACATGGGGGCACGAAGATGAGGCCAGGGAGATGATGAGGGGACACACAGAATGGGGGGGACAATGGACGTGGTAGGTGGGGACACGGGAATGAGTGGAACACACACAACGGGGGTCCCCACGCAGAGTTGGGGTCCCCCCCTCACCCTGCCCACAGAAACTCCTCATCCACGATGCTCTTGAGGGTGACGCAGACACGCGGTGGAAGCTTCCGGAACAGCCGGGAGGAGAGCTGCCCACTGAGCTGGGGGGAACGGCGGGGTCAGGGACCCCCCAACACTCCCCCCAGGTGGGGGGAGAGCTGAGCTAGGCGGGCACGGGAGAGTCAGGGACCCCCCCAACCCTCCCCGCAGACCCTCATAGCCGGGAGGAGCTGCCCGCCGAGCTGGGGCGGCACAGGGGGGTCAGGGACCCACGAGTCCCCAACACCCCCCAGAATTTCCCAACACCCCCCAAAAGCCATGGCAGGGCTGAGCTGGGGGCACTGGCGGGTCAAGGGCCCCTGAACACCCCAACACCCCCCACAGCCGGGGACAGCTGCCCCCTGAGATGAGGGTGTACGCGGAGGGTCCCACATCGTCCCCCGCAGCCCCTCAGCCCGTGACCTCCAATCCCTCAGAGAACACGCCCAGATCTGGGCTTCCCCCGCACCTCCAACCCCTTAGCCTCCCACACAGGACGCCCCCAGCTCAGGGCACCCTCAAAAACTGTCTACCATGTTGGCAAACCCCTCAGGGCTTCCTCAGAGTCGGCCCTTCATCCCGCAGGGCGCCCCGCCATGTCCCAGATCAGTGTCCCCTCAGCACCCCCTATCCCTCCCTCAGGGTCCCCTCACAGAGACCCCCCCTCACGTCCCACTTCAGCTCCCCCTCAGAACCCCCTTCCTCAGCTCCCCACCTTCCCCTCAGCCTCCCTCGCTCACCCGGGCGCGGTCGAGCTGCCTCACGAGGTGCTCGCGGCGGCCTCGGGGTGCTGCCCCGGTCCCAGCTCCCCCCGCCGCCCCCCGTTTCCCCCCGGGGCCGCCCCGCTCCGCTTTCGAGCTCGGCGCCATTTTCCCAGACCGGCCGCTTCCGGCGCGCCGCACGCCGCCGCCGCCCCGCCCACACCGCGCTCCCAGTGGCCGCTGACGCACAGCCCGCTCATCTCACTGGCTGGATCACCCGTCAATCACCAGCGGGTCCCGCCTCCACACGGCGATGGGACCAATGGCAACCCGGCAGCCGCAATGTGATTGGCTGCTGCCCGCGCCCGTCCGTTATGGCGGGGTTGCCATGGAGACGAGGCAGCGCCGGGGGCGGGCCCGAGAATGGGCGGGGCTGTTGTCGTGATTGACAACTCGGGGCCGCGTCGAGCACGGGGCGCACCGGGAGTCACCAAAATCCGCGTTTTCCTTCTTAAAAACTTTATAATTTGTGAGAGCGTCCGGAACAGCCCCTCGCCTACAGGCACTTGGGGGGGATCCGCTTTGGTGGGGGGGACGCGGGGGGAGGGGAAAAAGTGCTTGAGGGGACACGCGGACCCAGGTGGGGAGGAGTCAGTGTCACCATGTGATGATTGGGGGGATTGGAATCACCCTGTAATTGTTGGAGCAGTGTCACCCTGTCCTTGGGGGGGACAGTGTCACCCTGTCCTTGGGGGGATTGGAATCACCTTTTCATTGGGGGGGCAGTGTCACCCTGTTATTGAGGGGGGTCAATGTCACCCATGGGGGGTGGGCGGGGGGGATGTAGCAGCTCTGATCCCTGTGATTGTCACAGTGGGCATGGGGGAGGGGGTTCCCAGAGGCCCCCCAAAGCAGGGGGAGGCATCATCTGAGCCTCCCCAGAACCCCATGTGGTCCTAGCCCCGGGAGAGCCGGGACAAGGCAGGGGGGGACTCATCCACGGAGCTTTTGGAGCTGGAAGAGAAGAGGGCAGTGAGGGAGGCAGGGAGGGCCGGGGGACCCCCAAATTCCACCCCCCCAGGGTCCTCACCTCGCTCTCTACCAGGTTCCGCTTGTACAGAGCCTCCTTGGCTGCCTCCTGTGGGGGGTGGAAATCAGTGGGACCCCCAAACAGCACGTACAGGTGAGGCACCAGAGTTGGAGGGGGAAATGCAGGAATTAGGGGGGCATCAGGGTTGGGGGGCCACCAGGAGCTTGGGGGTCATATCAGGAATTTGGAGGTCACCAGGGTGTGGGGAAACAGGAACTGGGGGGCAGGAACACAAATCGAGAGGGCACCAAGAATTGGGGGCTGTCACCAGAGTTGGGAGTCTCCAAGGTTTGGGGGGAACCAGGATTTGGCGGGGGGAAGGAGGGTTTGGAGTGGCACCAGGAATTTGGGGGACAACAGGTTTGAGGGACAACAGGACTTGGGGAGGTGCAGCAGGAATTTAGAGGGCACCAGGAACTGGGAGGTCCCAAGATTTGGGGTTAGCCCAGGATTTCCTGGGCGGGACACCAGGATTTGGGAGTGTTGAGGAGGGTCTGGGGGTGTCCCCACAGCTCAGGGTTCCCGGGTCTGGGTCTCACCCGCTCCCCCTGGGTGCCGAGGCGCCGCGCGGCTTCCGTGTAGAGCCGCAGGTGCCGCTCCAGGTGCTCCGCGTACTCTGCAAGAGTCAAAAACCGGGATACACCAGCAAAAACCAAGATAAAGGAGGATTTTGGGGCTCAAGGCAGCCCAAGCTCCCTCTCACCCCTGCGGAAGTGGGGGTCCCCGCCCTGCAGCCGTGTCCTCAGCCCCTGGATGCGCCGGAGCAGATCCTGGTGCTGCTGCCGCAGCTCGGGGGGCACTGGGCGCCCGGCGCGGCCAAACGGCACCATCTGGGGGATGGGGTGAGGCGACAAATGGGGGGTCAGGGGCATCCCCGGGTGCTCCCGGGGCTTCCCTGCCCCCACAAAGCGCTGCCCCCGGCCCCTCACCTTCCGCTCTAGGCGCTCCCGGTCAAACAGCAGCAGGTTGAGGCTCGGCAAGGTCGGGAGGGATCTGGGAAAAGGGATCGGGGATGGGGGGTGGACATGGCAAAAAGAAGGGGAAGACGCCTGAAAAACCCAGAGCGGCTCCAGGACATTGGAGGAGGGGAATGGGGGTCCCAGAGCTTCCCACCCCCAATTCCCAGCCACATTCCCACCGCAATTCTCGCCCCTGGAACCCCGGTATTCCTCATTCCCTGTCCTCACCTGTTGTTCCCATCCTTCGTGGCGACCACGGCCGGTTTGGGAACGGCGACCTGAGCAGGAGGAGCTCTGGGTTATACCGTGCTGATTCCCCTCCCGGGCCATCCCGCGGGGTCCCCGCACTCACCGGGGCCTCGGCTCTCGGTTCCAGCACCAGCCAGCGCTCGGAGCGCGGCTCCAGCTGCCGCTGCGCGCCCAGGGGCTCCCGGATCCGCACCCACACCTCGAGCCGCCCGCCCGTCCGGCGGCGCCCGTCCAGCAGCTGCGGACACCGGAACGGCAGGAAGGGTCGGGAGAGGGAATGATGGGGTTGGGAATGTCCTGGGGAAGGGCTGGGAGCAGGAATGAGATGCCATGGGAATGCTCGGACCAGCGGGAAATGCAGGGATCGAGGAAGAGGCATATCTAGGAGCACCGGGAATGACAGGGAAGCGGGAAGGGGACCCCCCCCCCTCTCACCTCCAGCTGCTCCCGGAGTTCGCAGGCGCCTTCCAGCCCCTCGAGCCGCAGCTGCGCCGAGCCCAGAGCCCGCTCCGGCCGGAACAGCCCCCTGCGGATCAGGCCGAGGGGTCAGGATCGCCCGGATCCAGCCGCGATCCCAACAGCAGGGGGGTAATGAATCCCTGCCCCATGAACATCCCAAAGAAATCGGGAATTGCTGCACTCCAGAGTCACTTTCCAGCCCGTCTGGCACCTCTATACCCCGATAAATGTGGATTTTCCAGCTCATGTTCCCTGCTTTCTATGCTCTTTTTATTTTCTCTTTCCTGTGCTATTTTATGTATTTTCTGTGTTACTTTCCATATGTTGTATATTTCCAATTGTATTTTCCACAATTCCTGTGCCGTTTTCCCCGTTTCCTGTACTTTCCACGTTTCCTATGCCACTTTTCCTATTCTCTGCATCTTCTACATTTTCCATGTCATTCCCCTAGTTATTTCCTACACTTCCCGTATTTCCTACGGTGTTTTCCGTGAGGTTTCCCTTGTTATTCCCTCCTCCCTCTCCCCAAATTACGCCCCGTACCCTTTCTGGGTCACCTCGAACTTGATCCCGCGGGAGCTCAGGAGCCTCCTCAGCCCCCGGTGTCCCCGGAGCAGCCGCAGCCGGAACCGCGCCCGGAATTCTGGAGGGGAGGAGGCGAGTCGGTGACATCCCCTGGGGACATCCCATCCCATCCCAGTGCCGCCACCTACACCCCGAAGATTCCCAGGATTTACCAGGACAATCCGTGTTTTTGACGACATTGGTCTTGTCCCGCTGTGCCTCCTCCTGCGGGGGGAGTCAGGGACAATATAGGGGGGTCCCAGGGGACCTGAGCAGGCACTGGGGACACCGTGCAGGGGACACGGTGGGGGGGGTCACAGGGCCTCCACTCACCGCACTGGGGTGGGGGAACTCGAAGCGCACGAAGGTGTCCAGGTCACCAGCGGCCACACCTGGGGGGACACGGGGGGACACAGGGCATTGGGTGTGCACCTGCCCCAGGCCGTGTTCCCGGCTTCCAGCTCCTCGTTCCTGACTCCCCATTCCCAGTTCCCCCAGTCTCTCACCTGCAGGCACTGGGAGGCTGATCCCTCTGTCTATTCCCAGCTCCAGGTCGCTGCTGCTCAGCTCTGGGAACATCCTAATGGGGAGGGGGAACCTGTCAGACCACCCCAAGATTAAACCCCTCCACTCCAAATGTGCCCCCCAGGTGTACTCCCCACCTTTGCTCCCCCCAGATCTGCCCCTCACCCCGGATATGCCCCACACTTTTCCCTCTCCAGGTGCCTCCCCCTTCCCCTCCCAGGTGTTCCCCACCCGCCAGGTGAGCCCCCCTCCCCCTCACTTGACAACACTGAAGGTTCTCTGCTCGTAGCGGGGCTTTGGGGGCGGCGCTCCCCGGTTGTGCTCCCTCCGAAGGGTCTCCATGTGCCGCCGGCATTCCTCGGCCAGCGCCTCACACCTGGGGGGACACACCTGGACAGCTGACTCCCCCCCCCCCCCCCCCCCCCCACTGGCTCTGGGATTTCCAACGCCCGGGATCAGCCTCCTCTTCCTCAAAGGAGGAGGAAGATCCTCCCTCCCCACAGCCCAGCCCTCACCTGGTGGTCTCCGAGATGTTCCCCAGCTGAGCGAATTGTCGGGAATAGGTGAGACACATCTGGGGGAGCAACAGGAACGGGAGGAAGACGAGGAGAAGGAGGGAGAATGAGGGAGAAGGCAGAAAAAAGGAAGATAAAGGAGAAAAAAGGAAAGGAAAGAAAGGAAAAAGAAAAGAATGAAAAGGAGAAAATGAAAAAGCAAGAGGAATAAGGAGAAAAAGGAAGAAAAAGAGGAAAAAGGAGACAGGGAAGAGGGACAAGAAGAGGAAAAGGAGGAAGAGATGCAAGTTTTCCACATCCATCTAATATCCTGGAGCCTCCCTCTTTGGTACTTCCCCAGTCCCCTCAATTCTTGGGGATACTCCCGTTTATTGTGGTTGTCCCCCTGTTTCTGGTGGTCCCCCCAATTTTTTGGGGTTTCACCCTCACCTGGTGCTGCCTCCGCAGGGCCCCCGCCAGCTGCAGGAAGGTCTTGGCGGCCTCAGGGGGCATGGACACCCCCCGACCTGGCCCCAGCTCGAACTCGGCCCCATCCAGGGGCACCTCTGGAACCTGTGACAGATTTGGGATCCGGTGGGATTCCAGGAGTAGGATCTTCGGTGGGACTGGGATCCTGGGCCGGACACAAGGGCGGGCCCCTCACCTGGGCAATGTCCACGGGGAGCCCCCCACGGGCGGCCCCGATGAGCCCCTCGATGCCTTTGGCCCGGCGCAGCAGCAGCTTGGCCCCCTCCAGGTCATTGCGGCGCTTGGCGCGGAGCGCGGCCTGCGCCAGCTGCCTCCGCCGCAGCTCCAGGAACTCCAGCTGCTGCTGGGCTGGGAGGGGAACACAACCCCACACGGGGCTCAGCCTGCTGCCCTCACCCCGCCCTCCCTGCCCTCAGCCCCTCCTGTACCTTTTCCAGCGGGTCTGGGAGCCGGTTGGGAATTCCGGGCGGGCGGCGGCTGTTTGGGAGGGGGAGCAGAGGGAGCACTGGGCTGCACCTGGAGCCATGGGATGATGGTGTTGGGAAGAATCACTGGGAATGTTCCACTCGGGAACATAAACTCTCTGGACCCCCAAATCCCACCTTGGCAACCGTGGTGTCTTCCTCTTCCTCCTCCTCTTCTTCCTCCTGCTCTGGACCCGTCAGCTTCAAGGCTGCCTCCAGCATCCCAGCAATGCTCGGCTCAGATGGGATCTCCGTGCCCTGAATAGGGGGGAAGCCTGGAAAAAGGGGGGAATCCCAGTGGGAATGGGAGCTTCCCAGCGCCATTGTCCCCTCCACAGGTTAGGAAGCTGGAACGTACCTGGGGGAACCGGCAGCTCTGAGAGATCCACGGCTTTGCCGGCGCTGTGAGCACGGATGGCAGCCTGGTATTGCTGGGGGGGCACAGGAGCGTCAGGGGGAACCAAAGGGGGACGGGAATACTGGGGCCAGACTGGGATCATCATGGTGGCACGAGGATGACTGTTCTGGCACCAGAAGCACCCACACCAGGACTGGGCTCCCCTCAGGGCAGGACTGGGATCACAGTTCTGGGACTGGGATCACAGTTCTGGGACTGGGATCACAGCTCTGGGACTGGGATCACAGCTCTGGGATTGGGATCGCTGTTTTGGGATTGAAGTCACTGTTTTGGGATTGGGTTCGCTGTTCTGGGATGGAGGCCACCGTTCTGGGATGTGGCTCTCCCACCTTGACGATCCTCTCGTGCATCCGTGCCTTCCTTGCGTCCCCGCTGTCCTTGGCCTGGGCCGCGGCCGCCCGGTACCGCTCCATGCGCTGCTCCAGCGCCTCCCGCACGTCCCGTGGTGCCCGGGGTGCCTCTGGGGCAGGAAAAACAGGAAAATCCCAACAAGTCCCCCTTTTCCTCCCCATTCCCCCTCCCTAGGGAGTGACCAGAGCTGACCTGGGGCGGGAGGGGCTGAGCTGGTGTCTGGTGGATCCCTCGTTGGTGATTCCCTCGGGAGTGGAGCCTTTGGCTCCTCTGGCTGTGGATCTGCACGAAGGGAGCAGTCAGATCCCACCAGGACCTGCAGGACCCTCCAAAGGGGGGTTCAAACTCTTTCTGTTGGGATCGGGCTCTCACCGGGGGCTGGAGGAACACGACCTTGCCCCAGCACCTCCAGCTGCGCCTCCAGCCTCTGGAAAACCACAGGAAAACAGGAATTCTGGCATGGCAGCGCCCAGAAACAGAGGGATTTGGGGGGATTCTGGGAATCCTGGGTGTACCTTGGCTGCTCTGAAGTGCTCAAGGGCCACAGTCGTGTCTCCACGGCGTTTGGCTGCCAGTGCTTCCTTCTGCAGCTCCTGGAGCTGAACTCGGAGCGCTGGCACCGACCCGGGATCCGGGCAGGGATCAGGGCAGGGATCCGGGGCTGGGGGGGCCTGTGGAGGGGCAGGGGGCTGCACTGGAGGCTCAGGGCTCACAGGAGGTGGTGGCCCAGGTGCTCCGCCCCGCTTCCCCAGAGCCACTGGAGGAGGAATCTCGGCCTCATCAATCGGCTTCCCGCTCCGGACGGACTCCAGCATCTGCTCCAGGGTCTGCGGGTAAAGGGGAAGAGAGGAAACAGTGAAAATCTGGAGGAATGGGGTGAAAATGGAGCAGAGTTGGGAAGAATGGGGTAGAACAGGGATCTGCAATGAGAAAATGAGATAAGAGAGGGCTCAGAATTGAATGAAAGAGAACAGATGGAAAAGAACGAAATAAGTGAATGGAATGAAATGGAATTTAATTGGAATGAAACTGGGAAAAGTGAGATAAAACTGGGCTCAGAACTGGAAAAAACAGGATAAAATTGCCCAGACTCAGGCAAAACTGAATCAAACAGGGCTCAGAATTGTGAAAAGCTGCTCAATACTGGGAAAAGCAGCATGAACCCAAGGTTATTCCAAGAGTTTTAAGGGCAGAGGGTAAGGGTCAGGCCAAAGCCCCAGTTCCAGGGGTTCAGGCTCACCTTGAGGCCACGCTGGAGGCGCCGGAGCCGGGCCCCGTTCCCGTTCTCCCTCTCAGCGTTCCCGAGGGCCGCCCGGTACAGCTCCGCCCTCTCCGACAGCTCCGCCAGCAACGCCCCCGCACCTGCGGGCTCCTGCGGGAACACCGGGAACACCGGATCACCGGGAGCCCCGCCAGAATCGACCCTGGGATCACTCGGGACTGGGATCTCCCGGGGCTGAGATGGCCCAGGCCATACCTGTGGGGTCTCCACAGCGGCTGCGCTCCCGGACGCCTCCTCCAGCACCTCCTGCAGCTCTGCCTGCTCAGGTATCCTGGGGATCAGCCCCTGCTTGGAGCAGGGATCCCCTTTTCCAGGCTCAGGACCTCCCCTGGCCCCCTCTCACCAGCAGCTCCTCCTCGTTTTCCAGATCTTCCTCCCCTTCCTCCTCCTCCTCCGGAGGGTCTCGGAGGCAGAGCTGGGCCAGGGCCTCGACTGCTGCCAGAGCTGCGGGAGAACAGGGGGGTCACAAACCCATGTAGGGGGGAGTTGATCCCCGTTTAGGGGGTCCAGGGAGGGGAGGGGGATTTACCTTGCTGGGGTGGCGGGGGTGGATCCCCCTCCTTCGGAGCCTCCCGGCCCCCCAGCAGCAGCAGCAGCTCAGCCTCCAGCGCCGCGTCCCCGTCACCACCGGCATTCCCCGGGCTCTCCCCCACGCCAGGATCCGCTAGCAGCCCCATCTGAGAAGGGGAGACAGTGCTGAGGGGGGAGAGAGGGGATCCCGGAATCCGGAGCAGGGGATCACCCCCAGATCCAGAGCAAGGGATCCCCGAAAATGGTGGGGCAGAGGGGGGATCTCCAGGAGCCCAAGGAGGGGAGGATGGGACCACCCCCCCCCCGGCATTCAGAGCAGGGGTCCCGGGGGTCACACGCACCTGCCTGGCCATGGCGGCCCCCCGGCCCGGGACCCTCCTCGCTCGGCTCATGGCTCTGTGTCCCGCCGAGCTGGGGGGGAACACGGTAGGACCCCGGCCCTGAGCTGAGTCCCGGACCCTCCCGGCCTCCCGCGAGCCCCTCCGAGTCCCCTTTAATGCTCCAACTCGCCTCAGAGCCCCCCAGACGATCTCGGTGTCCCTCCGCTCCTCACAAGGCCCCACCGCCCCATGCCCGGTCGCACCCCACAGGGTCAAATCGCCCTTTTTCCCCGCTCCCAGAGTACCCCAAAAGGCACCGTCACGCCCCAACTCTCCGCTGGCGCTCCGCCGCCCCTCACTCCCCGATCCCGGCGATCCCGGCGATCCCGGCGACCGCGGTTGATGCTGGCGATCCCGGTAATCCCGGTTTATCCTCACTCACTTCCTGCTCCGCCGGCTGCTGTCAACACCCCGCGCTTTACAGCACCGCCGTCGCAAAAGCCGCCGTCGCAAAAACCTCTGCGGTTGCGTCTCACTTCGCGGCGCGGGAGAACTACAACTCCCGGCGTGCCCCGCAGGCAGGGAAAAGGCGGGAAAAACGTGAGGGGAACGGTGGGGAGAATGCCCCGAGGTGGAAAATGCGGTCGAAATCGGCGGAAATGCACGATTTTCACCTCAGGCCCGGAGGGCTTGGGGAGTTGCTGTTGCACTTTTGGGGGAGCTGGGCGATATTGTTTGGGCAGACGGGGTAGAAGGCTTAGGGGGGAAATGGCTGCTGGGGCCTGAGGAGAAATAGGGTGGTACGAGAGGGGTGGGAGTAATGGGGAGCTGGGGTAATTTGGGGCTGCTCCTTGTCCCTCCCAGGTAGCACCAGGATGGGGAAACGCAGGACCCATCCCCCAGGTAACAGGGAAATGCCCAAATGTCCCAGTTTGGGGTCCACAATGACCCTTCTTCAACCAACTGGGATCTCCCCACATCCAAACTGAGACTTCTCTTTTCCCTCTACAACAGGTGACAGGAAATTCCACGCTCCCAAAGCCAAGCGAGTCCTTCAGCAAGCACTGGGAGCTGCTGGCTCAGCCATGCCCATTCCTTCCCAGAGCAGTGATCCTAATGGAGATCCTGCTGGGATGGAGCTCCAAGAGAGGTAATGGGAGGGAGCTGGAGGGGAGTGGCCTGGGCTGGATCAACCCAGACCCAATTCCATGGAATTTGCTGGGTCCAACAGCAACAACAGCAGCAGCATGGTGGATCCAGAGAGAATCCTTGTGGGAGAGGATGGAGCCAGATCTTCACAGGTATGGAAAATCTCCAGTATGGTGTTCACACACAGCAGAGGGAAAAACTCCCCAAACTATGGTTTTTAACATGTTTTTTCAGGAAGGGAGAGACAAGGAAATTAGAGGTGGCACAGCACTGAGCTCACCGAAACAGGGCATTTCCAAAGGGATGGAAGAGAATCATCTGGAATTGCCCCAGCTGGGAATTTTGGAAGCAGGTGGGACAGGAAAGGATGAGTTGGAGTCACCAAAACCAGGAATTTTGGATGGGGCAGGAGAGAATTGTCCAGAATCACCAAACCCGGCAATTTTGGAGGTGGATGGGGCAGGAGAGGAGCCCCCGGAGTTAGTGAAACATGTAATTTTGGATGGAATGGGACAGAATAATCTTGAATCATCTCAACTGGGAATCTTGGAGGGGGATGGAGCAGGAGAGGAGCAGCTGGAGTCACCCCAGCTGAGAATTCCAGAGGCAGATGAGGCAAGAGAAGAGCAGTTGGAGTCAGTGAAACTGAGAATTTTGGATGGAACAGGAGAGGATCAGCTGGAATCATCAAACCCAGGAATTTCAGAGGTGGTTGGGGCAGCAGAGAAGCAGCTGGAAACACCAGCACAGCGAATTTCAGATGGGGCAGGAGAGGAGCATCCAGAGTCAGTGAAACCAGGAATTCCAGGGGCAGGTGGGGAAGGAGAGGAGCAGGCAGAGCCACTGAAACAGGGAATTTGGAATGGGGGAGGAGAGAACCAGCTGGAATCACCAACACAAGGGGGTTCTGGAGCACACGGATCCAGCCCTGAGGACACGGCCCCTGCAGAGAGTTCAGAGGTGCAGAATGCAGCAGGAGAGGGGGAAGAAGGTGCCCTGCAGGAGGGATGTGGCACTGGGATTGCCCTGAGCATGAGCACGGGGGTCCCAGATCATCCCAGAGATCCCCAGAGCGGTGCAGGAGATACAGAGAGCAGGAATTCCCAGAGTGGGAATTCCAGTATGGCAACACCAAGTCTAGATCCAGCAGCCACCAGCACCGAGCCCCAGGACCACGGGGAAAGGATCAACCCAGAGCTCCCAACGGAGAAGGTACAACTGGGATGACCCCTCCCCACCCAAACTGAGACCCAGGGACCCCTCCCCACCCAAACTGGGACCCTCCCCATCCCGTTGGGCAGCTGCTCCAGCTCCTTTCTTTCCCTGCAGCCATTCCCTGGTGCCGCTGGGCAGCAGCCATGGGACACTGTAGGATCCACAGGGACCAGCCCAGCACAGCCATGGGAAAGGTGGGTGGATCCAGGAATAAAATCCTGATTTTGACTAAAACTCCTGACTTGGGGAGTGGCATTCTGATTCTCCTTCTCGCAGCAGTGCCAGAGTCACGGAGCCGGCGGATGCGAGCGATATCATCCACGGGCTGATCCGGGAGCTCTCAGACCTCAAGTAAGTCCTAAATCCACATGGATTTCCCCTGGGATCAGGGGTCCAGCACCCCTTGGGTGATGCCCGTGCTCCCCCCCGACAGCCGCCTGGCCATGGGAGCCCGCCGAGGACTGGAGCTGCTCCGGAGGCCAAAGCCACGGCGTGGCCGGAGACCAGTGCCCAGTGGAAGCCACTGGAAGGAAGGGTAGGGACATCAGGAATAACCTTTTATTGATGGGAACAATGGGAATAAACCACCCTTCATCTGGAGAACAGTTCCAGTGCTGACTACCAGGCTCTTCCTGGCATCATGGGTGAACAAATCCCACCAAACCCACCCAAAACACTAAGTAACAGCTCCACTGCTGGGATAAAGGCTCCAACACTTGGAGCACCAACCCCCTCCCAGTCCCTCTCTGGCCTGGGATTAATCAAAACTCAACTCAGAACATCCAGTAACAGGTCCAGCACCTGGAGCACTGGCCCTTTTCTGGCCTGGGATTAACCAAAACTCAACAATCCAACCCAGAACACCCAGTAACAGCTCCAGCACCTGGAGCACCGGCCCTTTTCTGGCCTGGGATTAACCAAAACTCAACAACCCAGTAACAGCTCCAGCAGCAGGAGCACTGGCCCTTTTCTGGCCTGGGATTAACCAAAACTCAACAACCCAGTAACAGCTCCAGCAGCAGGAGCACCGGCCCCTTCCCAGCCTGGGATTAACCAAAACTCAACAATCCAACCCAGAACACCCAATAACAGCTCCAGCACCTGGAGCACCGGCCCTTTTCTGGCCTGGGATTAACCAAAACTCAACTCAGAACATCCAGTAACATGTCCAGCACCTGGAGCACTGGCCCTTTTCTGGCCTGGGATTAACCAAAACTCAACAATCCAACCCAGAACATCCAGTAACAGCTCCGGCACCTGGAGCACCAGCCCCTTCCCAGCCTTGGGATTAACCAAAACTCAGAACTCCAAACTCAAACGTAACACAAAACATAGACCTGGCCCCACTGGCAGCGCCCAAATCTGGCCAGAGCGACTCTTCCAGGGTCCCACGGTGTCAGAAGTCGGCACAAAGTTGCACAGACTGGGGAGACTGGTCCCAGTGGGAAGCGCTGAGCCGTGGTCTCATCTTCTGAGGAAATGTCTGGAAGAGAAGCCGAGAGAGATGGGAGCACTGGGAAGCACCAGCACACACCCCGTGATTAGTGCCAAAGCCCTGATGGGATTCCTTGCAGGAATCCCATCCTGGATAAATCCAGACTCCAAGTATGTCTCCTTCCTTATGTTATCTGTTTCCCAGTGCCTCCTCCGTCCTTTAGCTCTGGCTCTTCGGTGAGATTCCCTCATGAGAATCCTGTTCCTGGCTAAATGCAGGCTTGGATCCAAAAACTCTAAGTACTGAGGGGGAACACGGAGTCTTCCAGCCTTTGGCTACTTCCCAGTGTTACCTGCCACCCGTTTCCTGGTGCCCTCCCTTTGGTAGCTCTGATTCCCCGACGAGATTCCTCATGGGAAATCTGGCTAAACCCAGGTTTAGATGCAGCACAATCACTGTGGCATCACTGGGACACCACAAACCCTCCACCTGCGTGGAGATGTGGCATCCTCCATCCCTCAGCTACTCCCGGTGCACCCCCTTCCCTTCATCAGTGCCAATTCCATCACGAGATTCCTCACCGGAATCCCAGCCCTGGACAAACCCAGGCTCAGATGCGCCACATCCGCCGTGGCATTGCCAGCACACCACACCCAACCAGTACCTGCACAGTCACACAGGATCCTCCATCCCTCGGCTATATCTTGGTGTTCTTCTGCCTGCTCCCAGCGCTCCTGGCGTGCACCGGGTGGGAGTAGACAGAAGTGTAGCTGCGGTGCGTGCGGGGGCAGAAGCGGCGTGTGTGGGCCTGGTCCTGCGTGGCCCCGCACTGGGGGCAGACGTAGCTGCGCAGCACGGGGCACTGCAGGCGGCCCTGGGCGTCCCGCAGGCTGTGGCTCTCGTACATGCTCTGGGCCTCCCCGTTGTGCTGGCAGAAGGAGCATGGACCCTGTCTGGCACGTGGAGCTGGCCCAGCACGTGGAGCTGGTCTAGCACTCGGAGCTGGTCTGGCACGTGGAGCTGGCCCAGCACTCGGAGCTGGCCCAGCACGTGGAGGTGGTCTAGCACTCGGAGCTGGCCCGGCACTTGGAGCTTGTCTGGCACATGGAGCTGCTCTGTCACATGGAGCTGGTCTGGCACTCGGAGCTGGCCCGGCACTCGGAGCTGGTCTGGCACTCGGAGCTGGTCCGGCACTCGGAGCTGGCCCGGCACTCGGAGCTGGTCCAGCACATGG